AAATACCTCGATCACATCACTTTTCTTCTTGATCAGGTAAGTCCATAACTTTTGGTTGAAATCATCTATGAACGTGTCAAAGTATTTGTTATCTCCAATCAAATCCACCTGGATAGGACCACATACATTAGAGTATATGACTTCAAGAATTTCCTTCGACTTGCTTCCTGCATCCTTGCTGAAGATATTCTTGTGTTGTTTTACCTGAACACATTCTTCAAACACTTCACTTGGAATGTCGATTTCTGGTAATCCTGAAACCATATTTCTTCTCTTCAAATCTCTGATGTCTTTAAAATTGAGATGAACAAGTCGATAATTCCATATCCATTCATCTCTGTTGGCTACAGTTGCAAGACACTTATGCTCCATCACATTTAGTTTAATCTTGAAGGTCATATTCTGAGACATTGGACCCTTCAAGATCAACCTACCACCTGAGTCGAGAACTCTCATCATCTTGTCTTTGATCGACACCTTGTAGTTCTTTTCGACTAGCTGTCCTATACTGAGCAAATTACTCTTCATGCCTGGTATGTATAACACATTGGAAATTGTTGACCTTTTGCCATCCTTCCTCATAATCAGAACATCACCAATACCTTCAGCTGCTAGAGTATTCTCATTTGAAAATTTTACCATATTCTTCATTGATGGCTTTATGTTAACAAACCAATATTTCCTTCCAGTCATGTCTTATGAGCATCCCGAGTCCAAGTACCATTTGTCCTGGAATCTTTCTGCATCTCTTGTTGTGACCATCAACAACATTTCTTCTTCTTCATATTTTTCCAGCTTTGCATCAGTTTCTTAATTCTTCTTCTTTTCTCGACACTCAAAAAAATAGTGACTATACTTTTGAAAGTTAAAACATTGAATGTGATTTTTATCAGGTTTTCGACCACCACCTCTTCCTCTACCTGCAACACCACCTCTTTGGTTGCCTTGATTCCATGGTTTTCTCTGATTCGATCAGTTTCCTTCCTGCTAATTTCGACCAGTCGAATTGTTGTAGCATCCTCTACCTTTGTTGTCATCCAGCTTCCTTCACATTTATTTTCTTTTTCTGACTACGCGCCATATCACTCTTTGACTTTCCTGCAGTTCTTTCAGCCATCATTTGTTCATGAGATTCAACCGTCCTTTGAATTTCTTCCTTCGTTAATACTGACAAGTCTTTTAACTCTTCTATGGCTACATCCATATGGTCGAATTTTGGAGCCAATGACCTTAAGATCTTTGATACAACTGATCTTGATGTCAACACTTCTCCACATACTTTGATTTGATTCACCAGCTTTGTAACTCTGGTGAAGAAATTTGTTATACTTTCATTGTCTTCCATTTGAAGCAATTCATAAGTCCTTTTGTGAGTTTGTAACCTCACCTCTTTCATCTTATCTGCACCTCCAAACGATTTTTCAAGAATCTCCCAAGCTTCTTTTGCTAAATCTGCATCACTAACCTTTTCAAAGTTATTTAGATCGACACATTGATAGATTATAAAGAGAGCTTTATAATCTTTCTTCTTCAATTCTTTATATGTTGCTTTCTTCTGATCTATCGCGGTTTCTGCAAGCTATGATAATCCCTCATTCACAAGGTCCCAAAGATCTTGGTAATAGAAAACCATCTTAATCTACTTGCACCAATTCTCATAATTATCTTTCTTGAGAATTGGTAGATTTGCTGGAAAGTGACCATTCGGGTGATTCATCGCCATCAACAGTTGTTCTTCCCTTGAATCAAAACTGGAGCTCTAGATACCAGATGTTGGAATTCAACCATGACCTATGGTGATTTCTTTCCAATCTTGATCTCAAGATTGTCATGTAATGACAATGAACAAAAACAAGAACACGTTTAAAAAAGATGAGTATGAACTGCAGAGTAATTCTCTGCCCACAACTATGGAATTTTATTATCACTTTACAACTGCGAAACCGTGACTATCAAACTTGATTATTACAATGATAATGGTTCCTCCCTCTTTATAGATTTAAGTTAACTTGCATCTCAAGCTAAAGCTCAAACTATAAAAGCTGAAAAATATCTAATATAATATTTCTAAATCAAATCTAATCTTTCAAAAACAATGAATTACATATTTAACATGCTATGCATACATCGACCCAACGCATATTAAATATCAACAATCGATCCTTTGTAGCAAGACGCCTCCAAAGCGAGAGCCAAGAATAAACTTTGCTCTTGGTGTCGCCTGATCACTATTTAGTATATCTAAATGCTTCATGACTAGAAGTGCACAGTCTGATCGTGTAGCTTTAAAAGATTATCGAACCTAAAGGACCAAGAGTCGATCTACCGCTATCTAATATTACTACGTAAATCTAAGGCTAATGAATTTCTAAATTTGGGATGCGAGTAAGAAAATTAAGTGCAAAATGAAAATAAAATTAAATCAAGATAATGCGAAATATCGGTAAATAATCCTATCAATCATCGGAGGTTCAGTAATTCGTGAGCGTTTAGTTTAAAAGGTAAAATTGTTATTCTGTAGAAAATGCTCATTTAAAAGACTTTATCTCACACTCTCGTGTTTATTGACTTAGACTATACACTCAAATTAGAATGAAGGCTCTCGCTCTCTCATTTGTATTTAAAAACACTTTTTGAAAATAAGTAGATCCTAATTAACCTTAAAGCGCACTCGCTGTATTTAAGCCTAATGTTTAGTTTTAGCTATCAGATTAAGACCTCCAACTCCCGCTGTATTGATCTTAACCTTCGTTACCTTTTTACTCTCGTAACAAAAGTTATTAATTTATTAAAAGAAACTGAGATCAGAAGAATTAGATCTGTTAAATTTACGTCACGATTTACTTAACCCCCTTCCGACCGATCGTAATTACATACCGATACTAAGAGGTTTAGCCAAACATGACTTTCATGCTATTACTAAATCTAATCTTAATGCTAAACAGAAAACAGAAGGGATGCATAAAAAATATAACGATATAAATAAAAACAGATAAAAGGAACCTGACAATTTGAAGAACAGAAAACTTGGATTTGATTATGGAGGCCGGCTTGTAGTTCAGTACAATATTACAACCTTTGAATCAATCCTAAAACTAATTGGCAATTGCTTATCAGTGTGAAAAACAATTGCCTTACAATATTATTCTCTCTAAAAAATGCAAAGAAAACTAAAAACAAAATACTGAAAAATAATACGAAAACAGAAAAATCCTAAGTGTCCCATTTTTCCAAAACTGCATCGGGTATTTATATCTGCTAGTGGGCGACGGTTACACAAAATTGAAGCCTTAAACGAGGAGTGAAACAAGGAGAAAATGTAGCCAGGAGGTTGATAAAAAGTAGGGAGGAAGTGGAGAAAATATAGGGAGGAAGTGGCAGACGCCACTTCCCTTTCTTTTAGGAGTGGCAGTTGCCACTCTCCTACTTCCTAGGAGTAGCACTCGCCACTCTCTCTCTCATGTGGCAGCCGCCACTTCCTTGTTGCTTTCATGGTGGCAGGCGCCATACCCAAGTGGCAAGTGCCACTTGGTGTGTGGTGACCCCCACCCCTTTTTTTCTTTCTTTTCTCTTGCTTTCTTCTTCTTTTCTTTCCTTGGTCTTTTCTTCCCCTTATCTTTCCATTTCCTTCATTTCTTTCTTCTTTTATTTCTTTAGTCCATATTTTTTATAACCTAAACACAAGAAAACAAATGTCTAATAGAAGATAAATCAGATAAAACAACAATAAACGCAGAACAAATCCATGTAAGTCAAGTCAAATATCCAATATAATTTCGCGTTATCGTCGCCTAGGGTTAGAAATGAGCCGAGCCGTGTCGAACTCGCCTTAACTCAGCTCGACTCGTTAAAAATTGGGTCAGCTCAAATCTCGGTTCGAGTTAGGTACAAACTTTTTTTTAAGCTCAAACTCGACTTGTTATAAGTTCACGAACAACTTGATTCGACTCGTTAGATTTATCACATTAGGTTCAGCTCGTTTGCTTCACGGACTTAAAAACAATTTTTTAAAGTTCTTTTTTATATATTTGACATTTTAAATTAATATTATTTTAAAACAAAAATATTGAAATAAAATAAAAGCTATTAGATTGTAATTTAACTTTGTCTTAAAAATAAATTAATTCAAAAATTAATTAATTTATATGATGCTAATTTTATTCGCATAATTATTTTTAAAAATATTTTGTTCATTTGAGAATATAAATTATCAATTAACATTGATAAATTAAAATAAAATATAAAGTTAAAATTTATATTAAATCTTTAAACCTACTCTTAAAGACAATATAATTCTTCTCTATATAATCGAGTTGGCTCATAAACCTAACTAGTTGAACTATGTATAGTTTATGTTCAACTCATTTAATTAACGAACTTAATCTTTCACTCACATTCAGTTCATTAATCTCATGAACTAAGTTCAACAAATTATTATCGAACCGAATTTCAAATTATTTTCAAATTGTATCAGTTTATTGACATCTCCAAAATCGCTATATTATTCAAAATCAGTTCACACCAATTTTGTTTCATACCCGCGGACCGAGGAATGTTGTACACGTGCCACATATGAAAGATGTCATCTTTTTGTTGCAAAGTCCAATTTCGATGTGAATTAATAAAAACTCGAGACTTCAGAAATTTCTTAAATAAGTATGATGCTTTTGAAGGAATTTCCATTTACATCACATCGTTGCCTTTGACATAATAAGCATGTATCCAGCGAATCCAAAGTTTATCCACTTTTTATTGATTGCCCAAAGTAACTTGAGGATACATACAATTCCAAAATACAAGCACCCTCGGTCTGTGGTTTAGAAACCTCCTCCCAAGATACAAGCACCTTCTTTGAATTCTCTCTATCACCGGACCACATAACTCCCGACAAACTGCATCAATAGCCTTAATAACTTTTTTAGGCAAGTAAAAAACTTGGCTCAAGTAATTTTGAATTGCAAACAGTACACTTTGGACAATTTGAATTCGTCCTCCATAGCTCAGCATCCGGTAAGACCAGTGGCGAACCCGGGCCAGAAAACTTTCCAACAGCGGCTGGTAATGTACTTAGAGGAATGCCCAAATACCTGAAAGACAGGGTCCCCTTTTGTAGCTGGACATGACGAGAAATTTGACCCCTTCTCCTGACTCAAGCCAGCATAATAAATCTCGCTCTTATTCCGATTAGCCACCAACCTAGAAGCCATACTAAATTGCTCAAATTGTTGCAGTAACTTATCAACAGAGTCAACAGTACCTTTAGTAACCAATAGCAAATCATTCGCGAATGTTAAGTGGGTTAGTCTTAGCTGGTTCTAATTCGGATGGTACTTGAAATTTTTCACAAAATGTAGCATGGCCATCACAGATTAAGATATTCCATACTCAGGAAAAAGGTAACGCAACACAAGATCACCTTGTCGCATTCTCCTATTCCCTTCAAATGGTTTCAAAAGCTGACCATTGACATTTATTCGGTAAGTAACTGTGGTCAAGCACGTCTCTATCCAGCTCACATAGTAGGGAAACCAAGCACTTGCAATAACTGGATTACAAAAGACCATTGAACCAAATCGTATGCCATTAGTAAATCCATTTTAATCATGCATCAGACATATTCTTCCTCCCATACCCATGAATGATCCCCTATGCAAGTATTGTATTATCGTGACTAAAACGGCCACGCACCAAAAAAAAAATCCATCACACTACTCAAAAGTGCCGTAATGATCTTCGACATAATTTTGTATAGCACCGTACAACACGCAATATACCTATAAGCACGAATTGTATTTGATGTGTGAAGGTGAGAAAAATATAAAAAGAGGTTGCATTGTGTATAATTTTTTTTCTTTTTAAATTATTAGTCATATTCTAAACTCAAGTTATATAATCTAATTTAGTCAAAGGTAGAAAGTGAATATGAAATGTAAAAAAGAATAATAACTCTAAAAGTTATCTTGGTTTCTCTCACAACTTGAGAGTAATTTAGTCTCTTTACACTTACAAGAGATTTTCACTATAATCACACAAAATTACAAATTGCTCAAACACACGAGCAAGAAGCTTCCTTTTCTCAAACACTAAAGTAAGAGGCTTCTATGATCAAGCACGCAAGTAAGAGACTTCAAATTCTCAAGCATACAAGCAAGAAATTTCAAATGCTAAAACACTTAGTAAGAGACTTCTAACAATCTACATAGCAGATAAATAATTGTTAAGAAAATACATTTGATATACAATCAGATGTGTATAAAGAATAGAAAGCAAATAGACTCTTTTAAAACTTAAGAATTTCTAAGATATATAAGGATAAGAAATCCTACGTTCAACTTGTACTTTTATGTTGACATTGCAACTTATCTTTAATTGTCAATTGGTATGAACTTCTTCAAGTCTTTAGCTCCTTAAACGGAGAAGAAAAAAGTTGTTGAATATCCAACATAGTAGAGTTCTTTGAGAAACTTCAAAAGAGACGTTGGAATATTTCACCAAATAGTTAAGGTTGGTGAAGGCTAGTTTAAAAACCCTTTGCTATAAAAGGAATTAGCAGTTGTATCCCAACAGACTTTATGAAGAAAATAGAACTTAGATTTTCATGTGACAAAGTGGACTCAGATGTTGATAGTGACTTATCAGAGTCATCTTGGTCCTTGCACTTTGACTGTTTCAGGTTCTGACCATCAGAAATATACTTCTTCAAAGTCTAGTCTTTAGAGGCTGACTCCTTCAGATTCTGACCTTCATACGTTAACCTTTTCAGAGGTTGACTTCTTCAGAGTCTGCTCTTCTACTTCTAATCCATCATATTTTCCTCTTTAAGCCTCTCTTTGGATTCTCATAGTCAGAGCCAATACTAGAAATACAGGAATTACCTGCGGATTTTTCTGTGAAAATTTATCCGCAGATGTACCTGCGGTTTTACCAGCGAATTTATATTGTGAAGCATTATTTTCTGCGAAAATTGTGGTAGCAGCAAAGTTCGCAGAAATTTCTGAGACTTTACCTGCGATTTTGGATGTATAATAATATATCTTATGACATTTTCCTGTGAAATTTTCCTGCGACTTTACCTGCTAAATTAGTTACCCACGAAGGTTTTAGTTGGAAACAGAAAATAGCAGGAAGAATGGCAGGTAACACGTTTCCTGCGGAAACATTGTCAAAACCCGCAGGTAAATCCGCAGAAAAACAGAGTTTTTCTAGTAGTGTGGATTCTATATGAAATTTTAGTCAATGGACCTGCACACTTGAACAAACATTAGTATACCCAATTATTCTTTAAATACTTTGTTATCATCAAAACCTAATAGACATGGAACACACCAATTTTGTTCAAACAATCTCTCCATTTTTTATGATGACAAACATAAGTATTTAAGAATAATGGTTGATATTTTAATTAACTAGTTGACTTCAGGTTTTAAGATTTGTAAGCTCCCATTGAGTCTAATAGTCCTTAGAGTAAGGTTTGTAAGATCACCATATGTCTCATCTAGGTTAATTAAAAGTTTCATTTAACCAAAGAAGAATTCAGAGGTACAAATTTTTTTTTTGATAAGAGAGAATGCATAGATAAATAATGTTTGGGATTTTATCAGATATGGATAAAAATAATTTATAATCATATTTGAGTAAACCCCCCCCCCCCCCCCCTCCTTTAAAGAAATTATTTAGAAAAATATTTTAAGAATGTAATTGAAAATAGATTAAATGGTTGGGAAACAACTTCTTTAATTCTCAAGATGATCAAAACAGGTTCTGACAATTGAGCATTTGATAGGAATAATACAGTCAAGGTTGAGGAGATGTACTTGAAGACCAAGAATATATCTCACTCCAATGTCCATTCGTGCACACTAATCAACACTGATTCTGCTTCATCCCAAACTCTCTATAAAACTTGTCCTCTACAAGAACGTTTCCATCCATTGCATAACAGTTTCAAATAATATATACGTTAAGGCAACAAAATATAAAAGTCGTTACCATTGCACTCTACAAGAACAATTTTTTTACCTCCCAAAAATTAGGCGATGTCATAGAGTCGAAATGTTGTAGTGGAACATGAGTTAGGATATATTACCTCTTATAGCGTAGTATCATTTTCGTTAAAATTGGATTAATTACAAATGCTGCACAAACAACAATTTCTTTATTCAATCCACGCGATTAGAATCTAAAATTAGAGACCTTCAACCTAAGTGCAGCGATATATTTTAAAGGATCCGCAAGGGGTGAGTAAGGCATGTCACCCACGAGGAGTGGTTATCGCCCATGATGGAATGACACCTCATATGACACATGCCGCTTGCATAGAGTAGTAAAACATGGGTTGCAAGAGCTCCTTTGGTGGGGAGGACACCAGTATCCAAGATAAAGAAACTCAAGATTATCCAGGATCCAACTTATGACTATGATTTAGATGCTGACAACGAATGGATGAACTACCTCAAATGTCGTACTTTTCATCCTGAAGAATTATGAGAGATAGTCTTTTATAGTGCATCTTATTGCTTATGAGAATAAATTAGGATTAATAATAATAATCACAAATCGTTTTCCCTCTATATTTATGATTATTTTGTCACCAACATCATTTGGTTGAGCCATCAAGAAGAATGTTATAAAGAAGTTTTCAACCATTTCAACCAATTTTGTGATGTGTGTATTAAAAATATAGAGAGTAAAAGAAATTTTAAATCACACTCATAAAAGAATTGATTTAAGAGGAATCAAAAAAAGATTTAATTTTATCTAAGAAAATGATTCCAAAAGGTAACACAAACATTTTTGTCATAAGAAGGAATATGTATTAACCATGTCACACTCCTTTGCTTAAAAAATATGACTGGTTAGGTCTATTAAATTATTTCAGAGATCAGAAGATAAAAAATTCTCAGAAGAATTCTGACTTAGGACCTTCTGAACCAGGAAATCTTCTTAATCAGTGAACTAACTGGTTCATACTCAAATATCTTAGAAACACGTAGAAACCAATTAGAGACACACAAGAATCTGATGGTAACAAAACTTTTGGTAATGACAAATGGAGAAGAAACAAAGTATTCAAAAACACTTACATCATTAACAACTAGTTATCATCTAACAGTTGAGAAACCAAGTGCCGGAGAACCTTTCACACTCATGACACATAAGTGGACAGATGTTAAATTTTTTCCTAATTATATGCTATCAGAGGTAATTAATAAAATTTTGAGCATCAGAAGTTGAGTTGCATCAGATGCTACTATTCATTAGAAGCTAGTTCAGTGTTTCTAACCATGGTAGCTTCTGATCATCATCAGACTCATACCCTTCATTCATAAGCAAGCAATAATCTTTAACAAAATTCATGTTCATATTATTTTTGATAAAATCAAATATTTCAATAGTAAAGGATTTGGTAAATATATTAGTCCACTGATAATTTGTATCAATGAAATATATATCTATCACACCCTTCTGAACATAGTCTTTAATAAAATGATCTTTAATTTTTATGTGCTTGGTTCTAGAATGTTGAATATGATTCTTTGTCAAATAAATAACAGTAGCATTATCAAAAAAGATTGGAATATTGCTTCCACTTCTCTGATAGTCTTTCGAATGATATTTCATCTAGAGTAGTTATGTGCAATAACTTGCAGCTGAGATGTATTCTGCTTTTGATGCAGATAAAAAAAAATAGTTGCTTGTTTTTAACATCCCAGGATATTAGGTTTTCACATTTGAATTGACAACTACCACTACTGGATTTCCTCTGAGTTCCATCCCCAGCATAGTCAGCATCACAGAATCTAACTAGCTTATAATCTATGAATTTTTTTTATAAAGCAACCCTATATTGGTTGTTCCACTAAAGATTCTCTTAACAGCTGTTAAGTGAGTCTCTCTAGGATTTGACTGAAATCTTGCACACAGACAGAAGCTGAGTAAAATATCTAGTATAAAAGTTGTTAAATAAAGTAGATAGCCAATCATACCTCTATAAAGCTTCTGACTGACCTTGGTGCTGCTTTCCTCTTCGCTTAGGTCGCATGTTGGATGCATAGAAGTGCTCGTGATGTTGCAATCATCAAGGTTGAACTTCTTCAGAAGCTATTTTGTATACTTATTTTGATGATCATAGACTCTTTATTTGCATTGATTGATTTGAATACCAAAGAAGAACTTCAGCTCTCTCATCATACTCATTTCAAATTCAGCCTGCAATGTCTTTGAAAATTCTTAGTTAAGAAAAGCATTAGTTGAACCAAATATAATATCATCAACATAAACTTGAACAATAAAGCTATCATTCTTAAGTGTCTTTCTTGAAGAGTGTAGAATCTAATTTCCCTATCTGAAATCCATTTTCTAATAGAAAATTACTTAGTCTCTCATACCAAGCTATGGGAGCTTGTTTGAGTCCATAAAGTGATTTCTTCAATTTGAAAACATAATATGGGTAGACTGAGTCCTCAAACTCAAGTGGCTATTTGACACACACTTATTCATAAATGACTCCATTTAAGAATGCACTCTTATGATTAATAGCATAAGAGAGAAGTAACCTGATTTC